TCCCTCCTTCCTTCCTCCCTCCCTCCCTCCCGTCCTTCCTTCCTTCCCTCCTTCCAGGACTTAGGTTCCTTCTTCCTTTCTTCCTTCCTGGGCTTAGGTTCCTTCCTTCCTTTGGCTTTGGTTCCTTCCTTCCTTCCTTGGCTTAGGTTCCTTCCTTCCTTCCTTCCTTTCCTTCCTGCCTTCCTTCCTCCCTCCCTCCCTTGGGTTCCTTCCTGCCTGCCTGCCTGCCTGCCTTCCTCTCTCCTTCCCTCCCTCCCTCCTTCCCTTCTTTTCCTTTCTTTCTTTTTTCTTTTTCTTTTTTTTTTTTTAGACAGAGTCTTGTTCTGTCGCCCAGGCTGGACTGCAATGGCGCCATCTCGGCTTACTGCAACCTCCGCCTCCCGGTTTGCTCCTGCTTCAGCCTCCCCAGTAGCCGGCATAACAGGCGCCCACCACCACCCCCGGCTAATTTTTATACTTTTAGTAGAGACAGGCGTTCACCATGTTGGCCAGGCTGGTCTCGAACTCCTAACCTCAAGTGATCCGTCCGCCTCGGCCTCCCAAAGTAGGTGCTGGGATCACAGGCGTGAACCACCGCACCCGGCCAGAGCTTAGGTTTCTATTCGTGACAACTTTCTGTATTGGTTGGCAGGTTCTCCTAGCACCACCATGATCTCAGGACTAACCGCTGCACACCCGTGATGGGATTCCAAACCTTCGCTGCAAGAAGACAAGGTGACGAGTTGCTGACAGCGAAGGCTGAACTAACATGGACAGTGAAGTGCTAAATGAGTCGGACTCCGACTCCAGGTGAAGCAGCCAGCAGAGGTCAGAGTGAGGCAGCTCACGTTCTGGGTAAGCTGCAGGTCGATTTCAGGGCCGACTCATCCAGATTACTCAATCTTCATTTCAGGCAATTGTATGACTGCTAAATACAGCTGCTTGGGGCATCTGGGGTTGGGAACTCATTTCTGCCAGGTCTTTGACCCCTGAAAGCGTCGTTGCGTCTGGCCCCGTGGGTAGGGCAGGGCGGGATTTCCAGGAGGACCAGCAGAGGGGCGCATGGGTGCGTGGTGCTGGGCCAGGGCGCCGCGGCACCGGTGTAGGAGCGCGCATGGCCAGAGCTCCTTCCATCTCAGCGGCGTCTCAGTGCTGCAGCGGGAACGGCTGTTTGCTTCCCTGAGGAGCTTCTAGAGAGCTACGGTGGCCCCCGTGTGGGAGGTGGGGCGGGGGGCGTGGCGGCGTGGGCGTCTCTGTCCGCTCCTCCGTAGCTCTCCTCCCTCCCCTTTCTGCTGCTATGGGGAGCGCGGTGGCCACGGAACGCTGCCCCGAGCCGCGCGAGGGAGGACCCGACGCGCGGCGTTTACCCGGCGCGGCGTTCCACCGCCCGGGTTTGGCTGGGTGAGGCGGGCGGCGCCGGGGGCGAGAGTGCAGCGGCGTGGGACGGAGAGGGTGGTTAGAGAAAGGGAAGGGAGGGCAGCGGGAGAGCTGGGATGGTGCAAGGGGCACCAGGGAGGTTTGTGCTCAGCAGAGACACCCAGGTATCTTAGTGTCGGGGACCCCTTGGCGACAGTGGGAAGGGGCTCCTCGCGGGGTGGCGGATTTCAATCCCGTTGACTTTGTAGAGTGAGGTTGACCCTGTGTTCGGCTTGGGCCGGGAAGGGCGCAGAAGCGGGACCTCAGGGCACTTTTACGCAGGGCGATTCTCGGTGACTACAAAGCCTGCGTCCTGCGTCCTCCCAGGCGCAGTGTTCCGGGATGTGGCTTTTCTCTGTTCTTGTCCTCAACACAGCCAAAGTCGTGGCTATCTGGTGACAGAAAAACATTTTGCTACATAACTGAGCTAGGCTGGAGTGTGAAATCGCGGCGTGTTATTTGGTCCGAGCGCCCTACGTAGCAACTCCCCGCCTCTCGCCCCCCC